GCACGCACGTGCTCCAAATTGTCCGACAGCCTTGGACTGATGTGCGCCATCTGTAGCGGATGGCATTATGGCCAATTTTATCCAGATCATCCAGAAATTCGGTTAACGCTAGGGGATACGATGTGAACGTTTATACTGGAAGGCGGTACTGCCATTATAAATGTTGTGGTCAGTGCACATTTACAGAAATCGATCACCATTTTTTGTTCGGCGTGCATCGACCACGATGGGGTCTCCCAGATGTTGTTCCTAGTGCGAAAGGTTACCCACTTGAGTGTTTGCGTTATCAGTAGCAGTCACGATATAGACATTTTTCGCAATGCAGAAAAGAGATGAAAGTTCACAACAGAACTCGTCTTTGCTTAACTCCGAACGTCATTTGGGCATAAACGGAAGTGATGACAAAGTTCATTGTCGTCAGCTGGTGTTCATTAATCATCGCAATAGAGGTTGGCAGTCGAACCGCACCCGTGTGGATTTTCACCGTCATCCATTTGGGTAGATTGCTTCCCGCATGTTTGTTGAGGGCGATACGAACACCTTACATACCTTGAAGCATTAACTCAATATTCTCAGAGACGCGAATTGTGTATTCACTGTCAGCAAATTCTGAACCTTGAAGTCGAGAATCCCTCACAGCACTATTAACTTGTATGGGTGTTTCGGAGCTACAGCACCTAACAAGAGAGTAAAGCCTTGAGAGTTAGTGCTTCCTGTTTTCCGATCTGACCCAGATTGCGGATGTTAAACGAACCAATATGAAGTGCGACCTCTAGTTTGAACCATGAGTTACATATATCGATGGCAGCAGCTATAAGGTCAGCGACAGTCTCTTGTTCAGCAGAAGAGTTGGGAAGGGAGAGAACAACAGGAGGAAGCAAAAAGAGCATTTTCGACGCGTCGAGAGGTGGATGATGCTCTCCGGTTCCTCATTCTGAGTGAAAGCTTTTGTTCCAGGTGCATTTGGATCAGCAGCCAGATCCACAAGGCCGTTGGGAGCAAGCCAAACTCGAGAACATGATCGTACGGACTAATTGGGATCTGCTTGAGGCCTGTCACACGCCATTTTGTGATGATTTAATTCGGTTCACATGTGTTTTGCGACCCTACTATGTTACGCATTTCGTGCCTCATGCTTATAATTCTTCACCGCGACTGGGCTGTAATGACTTACACTTGTTCCGCGTTACACTAATAATAATAATAATAATAATAATAATAATAATAATAATAATAATATTGTGTCAGCTGTACGCCGTAACGGCGCTTCGCTGCCGCGCGACCACCACCAGTCACGCGTGGGCTGAGCATACCGCGAGGACGCCCACCCATACGCGGATTCAAACCGGTGACCTTATGGTTGTAAAGCAAACATGCAGACCACTGGGCCACCTGCCGACTCCGCATTACACTAGATCTGGCCGAATCCCATTTCATTTTATTTTCTCAGTTTTGTTCATACTTCGCACATTTCCCTTTTATTTTTCATGTATTTTTTATATATTCGGTCTTAGTTGGCTAAGATGCTCTGACTTACACAGGCCCAGGATCACCCTTCTACTGGATCAAACGTAGCACATTCTTCTACTTGCTGTGTTCTGTCATTCTGCCGCACATTTGCTGTCCATTTTACGCGTTTATTTGCTTTCATATTCTATGCTGGCTGTTTGGTATCTCTGTTGTGGCTGCCTGATGTGAATTTTATCACAGTATCTACCTGTCGAAAAATCGCTATCTCGATTATACCAGCTTCAGTGGACTGTTATTCGTAGCTGGAGGAAATGAGTTACACCATCACAAATAGTGGTTCCATCCAGTGTGGAACGGGCTGCGGCCCAGTCACCGGCTTGTGTACGCCTGACACTTATATTTCCCCACATCCATAGACTGAAATGATGCCGCCGTGCATGTTGAAAGGGTGCGTACTAGCTCCGAAACACAGCTACGAAACACGGCTCACATCTACATTCCTCCCGGTCTTATTCCTTCGGGTTTCTACTAGCTATGGCGTGTGTGGATGGAGCTGTGAGTGGTGCAACGCAAGGTTCCTCTGTAGGCGCAGACATTCTGTGGTTGTCCTATGGTGGCCGCAGTGACAGGTAAATCCGGAACCGGATGCCGGCAACCATGTTTTGCATCTGTGACCATGACCACCCTGAGGTGGGATTGGTGAGTTTACACCAATTTCACCTGTGGCTTTAGGCACACTGGGCGCCGAAGTGCCACTTGGTACCCTCCTGTAACTGGACAGCGATGGACCCATATAGATCACACTGCCGTAAGTTGCAGATGGCGTGGTTCCATCCTGGATTGCCCCTCCTTCTGAACTACTTGCGTACACTGTCGTTTCCTCATGAACTTTACCGGGAGGCGCACCAAGCGTCTCCCTTGATTGAAAACTTGGAAATTGTAATGTTTTCGTCCAAGCAGGTCATAAGCTACATAGCACAGCCTAGTCCGGAAACGCACCAGACGCGTTTCCGGACTAGTAACTTAGCAATTGTCTTATCCCTCGGTCAGGCAAGTCTATCAAGGCGCACTTCGTACCGAACTTCCGCTGTCCTGTCCTAATGCCACTTAGCTTCAGTGGAATAGGATCTCGGCCGCCATGCACAATGCGAGAGCATCATCTTGTGGCATTATCATTCGTCACCGCACCAGTTACTGGATTTCCATGAGGTTGGTGAACCTTTTGAAATTCAAAAGAAACTTCCCTGCGGGCTCTGAGCATACTGTGACCAGACGGACTATTAGGCACGAACTGACGCGGAGCCTGCGCGCTGACGAGCAATCTTAGTGGACCAGTCGGACAAACTGAATGGAGGAGGTGGGAGCATTAGACCATTGTCGCAAACTTATCCAGCTGATCCGCACCACTGGTCCCAGGTAATCAGGCGTCAGTGAGACAATCAGAGACAGCGCGGACGCTCTGATTCACAATATGGAGGCCGTATGGCTCGTTGGGCGGAACACTTCAGTTCAGTTGACCCCCTGCTTCCTGGCCTCATCCTACACATTGGAAGCAAGAATAGCCATGGACGATTAGTTTAGAGACTCGAAAATACGATCACAGACCTTAATCGTCTTCTTGCTGTTGACCCGGATTCTACCCCACCTGAACTATTCAAAGATGATGGTGAGGTCTTCTACAAAGCACTGACCTCTCTGTTCAAGCAGGTATGGAAAACAGTGGCCATCCCAGTCTAGTGGAGTGAATCAATTATAGTGGCGATATGCAAGAAGGGCAGTCGCACCAACTGTACTAACCACAGGGATATTAGCCTAACGCTAGTTGTGACCAAATTACTGGCCTCGATTTTCATTTACCGCCACTGTGGAACAGGAATCTCGGATTAATGAAGAGCAGGCAGTTTCCCGCCCTGAATGTGGCTGTATAGACCACATATTCACTCTGCGGCAGGTGCTGGAGCAGCGCCACGCATACTGTAGGCCGACAATAGCTGTGTTCCTCGACTTCAAAAGTGCGTTCTACTCAGTCGGTCAATGAATGCTGTTCGAAATACTTGTGCGGGAAGGTGTTCCCACGAAATATGTGAACCTTTTGCGTGTTCTCTACTTGAACACGACAGGCCGCCTCAAGGTCTACGATGATTTGTCGAATGCCTTTCCGACAACAAGTGTAGTTCCTCAAGGTCGTCCGATTTCCCCATTTTTATTCCCTTTCGTCGTGGACTGCATCATGGGATGTTCCCATGCTCAGCCTCACGATGCAGGCGTTGTAGTGCTGCCTGCCAAAAGGCTAGTTGATCTTGATTATGCGGACGATATTGTCTTGCTTTTTGACAATATTACGGCTGCGCAATCAACCCAGAATAACTTCTCTAGTATGGTCCCATTATTTGGTAGTGCTTCGCACCTTCAAACTGCAAAGTGTTACTGCAGGACCACCAACCACTTGATGATCCCTTGACCCTTAATAACGAGGAACTCGAGGTGTTTGATACGTTCGCTTACCTTGGCAGTTGCATCAGCAACGATGGGCGCATAGAAATTGAAGTCAGTACAGACATTGCAAAAGCCAGAATTGCCTTTTTGCATCTGCGAGATCTGTGGCGACAGAAAGGAGTTTTCCTCCTTCTGAAAGCCGGTGTTTACAAGGCCAAAATGAGGGTCGTCCTACTCTATAGGAGTGAGACTTGTCCCCTTCGGTTTAAAGACCTGAGGCGTCTTCAAGTCTTTGATCATCCTTGTCAGCGAAGCATTGTTGGTGTCGGACGGCAACACCGTGTCCGGAGTGATGATGTACGTGGGCGAGTACTGGACAGTGATAACCAAGCTTAGAACAACAGATAGCACTGAATAAGTTGCGCTGGCTTGAGCACGCGCTACGTATATCTGGTCACCGCTTACCGAGGAGGGCATTATTTTGGTTACCCTAGTTATGGTGGCGCAAGGCCCGTGGTGGACAAAGGTTAATTTAATAGTGTCGCCTTCTAGTCGGGCTGCCATCTACTACGTTCACCACACATATACTTTTAAACGAAACGCGTTTATAAGTGACAACTTTTACACACTCGCGTTTTTGCGTTGTCTGGGGGGTTATGCTTCTAGTGACCAGTGGACCCAGTGTCTTAACAAAGTTATGTGCCTAACTGCTGAATAACGGCCACTTGTACCACCCGATGCGTCACGTTGAAGCTCACCTCGGCGATTTCATGCTCTCATTCCGGCATTTTTTTATCGCTCGTGGTTGACATTTTGCTCGCTGATTCGTTGTATTATCATCTCCAGGCCTTCCCAGATCGTAATATTTCACTTTATTCTATCACATTTATGTCCATATTTTCTTTTCCTGGTCGAGATACGTCTGGTCTTTGACCTGTCACTGCTCTATGGCTCAATGTATATTATATACCCAATTGCTATTATATCTGACCGATTGCCCAGTGTGTGTGCCTAACAGTTTTACATCTTATATGTACAGTTTATATTTTCCAAGTATCTTTTATTACTGTTTTCACTCTCCTTCGCCGTACTAGCTTGAAGGAAGAATCTGGACGCGATCAAGTCGACACATCATGTGGTTCGTACTGAACGCGACATCGGGCTTTATCGGAAAGAACATGGTGAGCTCACTGATTTCCCCCCTCCAGTGCACCCATTAACTGTGCAACGAGTTGACTACACGATTTCTTTTAATGTTATTTTGTCATCGGTCGTATCGTTGCCTGAACTTTACTGTTATCTCTCCAAGCACTGTTCATGTGTTACGCCTCATGTTCTAACCTACCACCGGCATACACAAACGGTGCTGTCTGGTGCGATGTTTGTCCATTAGTGAACTTTACCCCTTTGCTTCATCCCTCCCCACTCACCTACGCCACCTCAATCGTTTCATGCTATTTATTACTGCCAGGGTTTCATTCACCAATGCATGTTAACGACTAATAACACGTTGGAGTAGCTTCCCAGCATGCACGCGATGGAGTAACTTAACCGCTGCGGAAACTTCTTGTCCAGTAGTTTGAGCAATGTTGCATCCATGGGTATGTTGTTACCCAACATTAGGTTTTTGTCTTACCCGTCCACCATGACGTTACCACATGAAACGCATGCCCCAATATTCCACGTATGCATGTCACCCATGCAAGAGCATGGATACTTTCGTACAAATTGATCTGTACCGCTACCGACACATCGCATCAGGAGAAATATATGTATTATTATTATTATTATTGGCATCGATATTACTCACCTGATGCCCCGCCTGTTGTTGACAGTCCCTCACAGTCGCTGTTGATCCCTTAACCTCTAGCACATCGTGACCACCACCATTGCTACTACCATTACTGCTACGATTACTTTACCATTACTACTACACTACTATTACTACCACTTATTGATACTACTGCTGCCACACTAACAACAACAACAACCACAACTACCAATACTACTGCCTCTACTCTTATTACTATTACTGCCACCAATATTACAAATGCTATCAATATTGCTGCTCTGAGAACAACTGATATTACTGCTGCTGCTACTACTACTACTACTACTCTTGATAACACTATTAATACTACTATTACAGCAACAGCTACAACAACATCTGCTACTACTACTACCTTTCAGCATGATCCATCTTTTTACAACTGTTCCCTATCGTATCCATAGGATAGTCTAAATTTTAGGCAGCAATAAAAGTTTCGCTGGTTTGTCCCAGCAGGTCACAAGCGCGCTAATTTAGCCATTATTCCGGAAAACTACCAGACAGTTGTTTCTCGCGATTAGGGCTCGTCATTGGTGCGCATTCCTTTCACCACCTACAGGGGACCGTAACTGTGACCACTGGCTGTTTGCGCCAACTAGCCAGCAGCTTTTGCCACTGAGCCACGGGGGACGGTGGCTGACATTCACCACTTGCAAGCTTACTGGGATATAGCACGATCTATGCACTGCCATGCAGGTTACTGTTCATGCAGAGGACAATGGTTGGTCTCTCGAGATCACGACTTCAACGGGCAGTGACTATGCACGACATAACATTTGCGTGACGTGTGGGTGAATGTTTTGGTTTCTACTATGAGGATTTAGCTGAACTTTTACTGGTTTATCTTCTTGGTGAGCCCAAATAAAGCAAACATACCGTCTAGTGCTTTTCCAAGTTACGCTCTTTTAAGCTGTTGGAGGAATTGGTACAATTTCCTCTCCAATCCTCTTGCTTATCAGAAATAAAAATTATATTTTAAGCTCTGATGGTTGTTTGCTGTGTGTGAAGCATATTTGGTTGACATTAGTCAATCGACCCAAGCGCCTTTTTTAACTAATCGATCTACATATGTAAGAAAAACAGTGGAAGAATAACATGGGAACTCAACGGAATCGGTTCGCTTCCGCTTGCTGCCTAATATGTTTGCCTGAGGGTCACAAGTGAAGCGTGGTTGAGTAAAAAAGGGAATGATAAAGACGACTGAAGATGGATACATTCAGTCAGCGTTTCCTTCTCAGCTCACACTTTTTTGTATGACTAAGTTGGGTGTGCCTGAGTAAGCAGATTATGAAGAGTGGAGACAAAATGGTTCTCTCATTCTCAGTTTGCAATCCACACTTATTAGTGTCTGTGAGCTATGCTTTTCCGAGTAAAGAAGGAAAAGTGGTCGGGTTAAGAAGAGTGAAGGGATTCTTTCAACATTACATCTTTTCAGTGCATCTCTTCAGAAGGGTCTATTCTAGTAAAGATATTGTACGTACTTCATTTTATACATATTTGTAATCAACACTCCCATGTCTTTGCCTACTCCTAAAATGCCTTTTTTTCATTGCATCTTATTTGCAAAATTTTTCTTACGTATTCTACTTTTAGGTATTTTGAAACTGCTCTTTTAACACTGATTGCGATTCACATGCTTTTATTTCATCAGGAAGGCGATTCCGGATTGCAGTGTATTTGTGTAGGTAGAATTTTCTTCCAACATGAGTTTTCATTTTGAATACCGGTAGTGCGTACTTGGTACTCCGGACTGCATCTCTACTTGTTTGAAATGTACAGTGATATTTAGTCCAAATACACGCTTATGGGCTGAGTCAAATAGCAGTGTTAGTCTTGGCTTCGTATGTCTTAGCCACGTTTCCTGCCGCTTTTAAAAATACTCTTGCACTACTCTAGCACAGGACGAATGCAGACCTTGAACAAGTACAGCTTAGGTTCACGCATCGCGAATGACGTTAAGATGATTGTTGCACTTTGGACCTTGTGGTGTGCTGCAGGTTTATGCTTCTCTATTTCACTGCGACTCGACTATTATTATTATCCCTTTGTTGTGCTTATTTTCATTCCGTCCAGCTGTCCACCGCATTAGTGCACCGCCATAATTACTCATCTGGAGTTCAACTAGACGTCAATGTCATTCTAAATCTTATTTTCGCGTCACTGTTCTTGTTTAAACTCCACTCTCACATACACATCTATGCTTCTGTCAAGAGCGAAGACAAATTTGCGAGTATTACATTAATCCTCCCAGAATTGCTTTCCTATCCTTTCCCTAGTTGACGGATTTCGTTCCTTGTCTTCGATTGTTCGACATACTCTTCCCGGAGGCTGAGGACCCCGACCGTGCAATTGAGCTACAAACAGGGGTTTGCGGCAAATTCTGTGCGCAGCGATCGACGGACCAAGATGCACACTCCGGCAGTGCCTTTGGTTGTGCGGGAGATATCGAGCAGACCGATATGACGGACGACAGTATGCAGGTACCGAAAGTGGAATGCCCAGAGCTTCTTTCGAGTGCGGCAGCGTTACCTCTTGTGCACGACGAAGATAGTAACACAGTGTTGGAGTCGAAAGACGATGAAACAGAAGAGGAGGTCTGTTTAACGACCACATCTGCGGAAGATTCGGAGGACGAGAGTTCTTTAAGTAATGTCACACCCTACTTTATACTTGGTACTGCGATACCGTTTGGCCTGTTCTATAGATTGGATCTAACTTTTATCCTTCTCTCCATGCAATGGCCCGTGAGCATCTGGTATGTACCGGATTGTATCATGGGCTGTCCGCTATAATGCATGTCGTCGATCTATTTATACAGCTTGATTTTGTCGCCTGGTTATCCATTTTAACAGCCGTATTTTTTGTGTGCGGCTCTACACCCAACATCCTTTGCCAGTGTGTTTTCCAGTCACCAATAATCACACTGCTTGGCATTTGCGCCCACGGATTTGCACACCACGAATTGAGTTTCGAAACGCTTTCGCGCATGTTTTTTCCATGGATCTGGTTACATTGGGCGCTTTTTCCTCTATACTCTGGTACCAAACCATCTTAATCTGTTCGGATAACGCTATTCTTCTTCCCATTAACTCGGCCTTTGGCCACAGTCCCGCTGTCACTAGTGGTCGTACTGTTTTTACTTTAAACACCGCACAAGTAGTAGAGCGCTTGTCGACCCCTATCACACCGTGTTTATAACTGAACACTTCTCAAACCTTTAAGTGTGCCGTCGGCCGCTGTCTGCGCAGCACAGCTAAGACCACAGGATAAGTTTGGACGTCTATTACTTTTGCGTCCCATGTGTTCACTCATATGCTATATGATCGTCTGTCGTCCCACGTTTTCCGGCTTCCTACCGGACTGTTTAGCGCGTGCCGCTCACAGCGGCCTGGTTTTATTGACCATTGGCTACTAACAGCAGATTCGCAATTTATATGCTTGTGTACTTAGCCCGGCTCCAATGGCCGGCCCTTAGCCTAAAGATAACGAGGTTGTCTTGTAATCTGATGGCGCGGGTTCGAGCCTGCATAGGGATAGGGCGGCCCTCGCAGTATCCTTAGCCCACGAGCAATTGGTGGTAGTTGCGCGGCAGCGAAACAGTTGATACTGCGTACCGGCGTACTACTGATTCCCTATTCTTTATACCCGGTTCCAATGTAATTCGTGGATTCATCTCCACACCATGAGTTCCATCCATCCTATGCGGCGTCAGGTAAGCAATAACGACTGTTGCCCAACGTATGCATTAATTAATCTGTTCTTGCAGAGTACTTAACCAGTTCAGTTTGCGGACCATTTGAGGTGAAGCCTCACAACTTTGCATCTCTTCCGGGTTCGTTCGAAGATGGCGCTGCCGCTGCTACTTTTCATTTGCTTTGATGAGGAAGACAGGTGCATTGCGGTCTTTGAACGGATAATCCCTTATTTCGACCTTACCAATGTGCATCTTGGTTTTTTGGATATACTTACTCAAGCAACAACCAGACTTATTGCGGACTTGCTTAGACATCTGAAATGTATGTTCGCAGATCGGCTTCCACCCGTTAGGTACCGATGTTCACGTTTATGAATACTACTCGATTTATCTGTTTCGTCGCCGACGCGAGCCGCTTTAGTCCTCTGCGCGCGCGGGCTTTCAACAGTCTGCTTCATTTAGCTCTCGACACTAGTAAGAGCAAAATGAATCTGTTCTATCTAAGCGTTTTAATAGCAGGATATTTCAGTTGGACATTCCAAGTTGGACTATATTCCTTTTTAAGTTAGTTCTATTGCTGCATAAGCGTTCCTTTTATATTCACTCAGCGACAAAAGTTCACCCAACAGTAATGTTTCCATTTCAGGCATAGTTCCTCCCAATTGTCACCATTCCACCATTTGCCGCCGACGCCAGAGCCGATTCATGTACTTAACAACTGCTTCGGTCTGTTTGTGGCAGCATGTCTTGCGCAAAAGCCGTACTGGATACGATCATCTGCCTCGTGTGATGCCACCTGCGTTGAGGCCCATGGAGGCTCGCATTGCTTATCGAATGCGCAGCCTGACCGATGCTGTTCGTACGTTGAATTCACCTGAGCATACTTCTTCCATCGCCTCGCAGCTTACCTGGAGACAGTTTGTCGTAGTCCTTAATGCTTGTAAGTGAATTTGTGACCCGTCTACTTTTGCTTCAACCAATATTTTTGTCCATGGCTTGATATTGTCGCACTATTTTGTGCCACTATTGTTGTCATTAGTAGCAGCATTATCTACCTGAATCTAACTTTGCTTAACGTGAATCACACTGGTTAACGCTGGAATTAATGCTGATATCAAAATCTATTCTCTAGCAATTTTGTGCGTTAAAGACGAATATGACCATGAACATTGTCCTTTGACTCTCCTTTTGAAAATATTTCATGGTTTCACGGTATTGATTTATTCAGCACGACTATAACAACATTCTAAATCTACACCATTTCTCGATTGATTTCAGCTTTAAGGCAAGCTGTTTAGTCTTTTACTCATCAGCTTTCGTCCGTCATGCAGAAAATTTAGTCAAATACCGAGCTATGCAGATCGTACTGAGGGGTCAGCAGTGGACCTCGCATGATAGACCTTATGTACGTGTGGAATGTGTGAGCGGTGCAGAATTTTCGGGGTCATTACGCCCAATGGAGTGAGCGGGACCACGTGATGGCCAAACGGCGGACATCACACGCGCTTGACATACCGCGGGCATAAGTGGTTCCGAAACGTCAAGGTAATTTTACACGTCTGACTTATAAGTGGAAACGTCCATACGGTTCCGATAGTACGTCTCTGGTCAGCGGAGTTGTCACTTCTGCTTTCCACCAGTTTGGTTGCACGGGAACCGCACGCAGCGGACAAGGCGAAAAGAAAATCTTCCTCATAGTTCACCTACCAAGTTTGTCTATACTTTGATTTATATGGTTTTTTAACCTTTAGATCACATTACGCGCGATGGGAAGAAGAGGAACGTACGCCCGTCATCCGTCCTACGTAAAGGCTCTTATCCTGAAGAGGGCAACGACTGGAAGGGCATTGCATCTTTGTTACTGGTAAATGTGAAGATATGTAGAAGCTGGATTAGAACATCAGAATTGAATGAGCCGACAAGAGATCGTAGCGTGTCGCGTCGAAAGTGTCTGTCAGATAGTCACGTGGATTGCTTGGTGGAATGGAAAGGAATTGGACCCTACGATTACCTTGGAAATTCTTCGGTTACGACTGATGGTGAGGTTCGAGGTGGATGTGAGCGTCAGCACAATCGCTCGCTACCTAGACGGTAGCCTCATGACAAGAAGGAATTACATTCAATACCAGAATCCATGAGTGCGATGGATAGCATAAGGCTAAGGAAGGCGTACGTGTTGCAGTTGATGAACTTGGAGGCAGTGGAACGGCGAACAGTATGGATAGATGAGACGAACCTGTCACACCGATCTGGAGCGTATCTTCCAAGTGAAGCCTTACAGCTCAGAAAGACTTCTACGGCTGGCACCGTACTCTCCGCAACTGAACTCACGCAAAAGCATTTGAAATGTCATTACGGTCTACGTTAAAACAAACCATGAGGCGGCGATATTTCGAAATGCTCCGAGGGTATCCGGATGGCGTACAAAGCAAGACTGAGTGGAGGATGCAGTTTTTAGAGCAGGTTGTTCCAGAAGCAAGTGCCTGCGTGACGCTGCACCACTGTCAACAAATAGTGCAGCATTTACGAAATACCTATACACGTTCTTTGCACTTGCTCGATCCGTAACCCGTAACCACGGAAAAACATCAGCGCACGTTAACAAGAAATATGCCAGTGGGTTTACACCGGTTACTGCTCAAGTAGGTGCAAAGAACGTATATAGATTTTACTTGTGAATGGAAGGATTTTGGTGAGTATTTTTTGTTCGTCGCAATCAGCCGACAATTCAGATATGTCGACCAGCTTTCCGGAAAAGCACCAAACGGCCGTTTCGCCCTATTGAGGCTCATCAGTGGTGCGCATCCTTCGGTCCTCTGCGGAGGATCGAACCCATGACTCCTAGTGGCTCTTGCCAACTAGCCCGCAGCTTATGCAACTGCGCCATGGAGGACGGTATCTGACTATCGTGAATTGTTAGCTAAATTCGATATAGCCCGACGCATCCTCCACTGCCATGCAGGCACCTGCCATGCAGATGACAGCGGTCGGTCTTCCAGCGTCAGGACTTCCCGGTTACGGCAGCTATGAATCGACATAGCATTTTGTGGAATCCGTACGGGCGAATTGGTATTACTTATGGATGGAAGGATTTTGGTGAGTATTTTTTGTTCGTCGCAATCAGCCGACAATTCAGATATAGCGACCAGCTATCCGGAAAAGCTGGTCGACATATCTGAATTGTCGGCTGATTGCGACGAACAAAAAATACTCACCAAAATCCTTCCATTCACAAGTAAAATCTATATACGTTCTTTGCACCTACTTGAGCTGCAACCCGTGTAAAACCCCTGGTAGATTTCTTGCTAACGTGCACTGATATTTTTCCGTGGTTACGGGTTACGGATCGAGTAAGTGCAAAGAACGTGTATAGGTATTTCGTACATGCTGCACTATTTGTTGACAGTGATGCAGCGTCACGCAGGCACGTGGTTCTGTAACAACCTGCTCCAAGAACTGCATCCTCCATTCAGTCTTGCTCAGTACGCCATCCGGATACCCTCGGAGCATTTCGGAATATCGCCGCCTCATGGTTTGTTTAACGTAGGCCTTAATGATACTCCAAATGCCTTCGAGTGGGTTCAGTTGCGGAGAGTACGGTGCCAGTCGTAGAAGTCTTCCTGAGCTGTAAGGCTCCACTTGGAAGATACGCTCCAGATCGGTGTGACAGGTTCGTCTCATCTATCCATACCGCTCGCCGTCCTTCTGCCTCCAAGTTCATCAACTTAAACACGTACGCCTTCCTTAGCCTTTTGCTATCCATCGTATTCATGGATTCCGGTATTGCATGTAATTTCTTCATTGTCATGAGGCGACCGTCTAGGTAGCGAGCGATTGTGCTGACGCTCACGTCCACCTCGAACTCCACCTTCAGTCGTAACCGAAGAGTTTCCAAGGTAACCGTAGGGTCCAATTCCTTTCCATTCCACCAAGCAATCCACGTGACTATCTGACAGACACTTTCGACGCGACACGCTACGATCTCTTGTCGGCTCATTCAATTCTAATGTTCTAATCCAGCTTCTACATGTCTTCACATTTACCAGTAACAGAGATGCAATGCCCTTCCAGTCGTTGCCCTCTTCAGGATAAGAGCCTTTACATCGGACGGATGACGGGCGTACGTTCCTCTTCTTCTCATCGCGCGTAATGTGATCTAAAAGTAAAAAGTCATATAAAGCAAATTAAAGACAAAATTTGTAAGTGGACTTTGAGGAAGACTTTCTTTTCGCCTTGCCCGCTGCGTGCGGTTCCCGTGCAACCAAACTGGGGGAAAGCAGAAGTGACAACTCCGCTGACCAGAGACGGACTATCGGAACCGTATGGACGTTTCCACTTATAAGTCAGACGCGTGAAATCACCTTGACGTTTCGGAACTAAACTTATGCCCCGTATGCCAAGCGCGTGTGATGTCCGCCGTTTGGCTATCACGTTGTCCCGCTCAGGCCATTGGGCGTAATGACCCCGAAATTTTTGCACCGCTCACACATTCCACACGTACGCACACGTACGTAAGGTCTCTCATGCGAGGTCCACGGCTGACCCCTCAGTGCGATCTGCATTAATTTAGATGGGTATTTGACTAAATTTTCTGCATGACGGACGAAAGCTGATGAGTAAAAGACTAAACAGATTGCGTTAAAGCTGAAATCAATCGAGAAATAGTATAGAATCATCACATTGCATGATACTGTCTTTGACATATCACGCAGAGTGCACTGCGTAATTTTCTGATGCATTGCACTACTGCTAACAGGCTATTGTAGAAATACGCTGACATCAACAATCCATTATATTATATAAATTCGGGTGGGAACATTGGACATTGGAATTAATTTAAACTTTTCGGATTGTAGTTTTTCTCCACTGTGCACCATCATCGCCGCAGAGGGTATTACAAGAAGAACCGATTGACTTTATTACAGCTTTCGACTTATCTGTGGACAAGGCAGAATTGCTCGGTTCGCTGCTTCAGCGATGGAATCTTCTGGAAGCAGATGTCAGGCTTACTTCATTTTGAGAGCACCACCGGCAGTTGGAGCCTTTCTTCAGAAATAACGGTGCTTTGATATTCGGTTCCGTTATTGAAGGCTTTATGAGCGCATTTGAAATAATTTATGACTCAAAAGAATTAAAACTATTTGTAGACTGTTCCACTTACACTTAAGGTATTGATGTTTCACAATGGAAACCATCTTCCGTCTATTCCAGTATCGCATGCTTTTCACATGGAGCGGTAGTATAATCACTCGAATCGCTTTTTTGAATTCCATTGAGTATAATAACTTCGGCTGGCATCTCTTTGTGATGGTTTGATGATAAGTGCCCTTTCACTGGAACTGGAATCGTGATACAAAATACTGCTATTTCCTCTATAACTGGGATAGCCGAGCAAGGGATTTGCACTATTTGCGGAAGAAAAGGACTTGCATACAAACTTTAATAGTTGTAGACAAAAATATCCATTACCCATCTTTGGTCGCGGCTTACAAAATCCTCCTACCACCCCTACTTATCGTACTAGGTTTGATGCAAAATTTCGTGAATGCCATGGACCGGATTTTCTAGCGTTCTGATATCTTCTTAAAACATTCTGTCGACTTAGCGAAGCGAAGTTTGAAAAGGGAGTTTTTTTGTGAATCATCAGATTCGACAGCCATTCAAAGATAGCCACTTGCACAACTTCTGCAGGGTGATTTTAAACAAGATTGGTATGGTTTTCGCTTAGTGTTTACTAACATTCACGTGAACTTTAGGGTACAACATTTTAAGGAACTAATAGAAGACATGCTAAACCAGACGGAATTAGAAACTTGGCAGCAATATGTCTAAAGATCCACTTTCTTCATGACCGTCTGGATTTATTCGCTGACAACTGCGGTAGGCTTGGTGAGTAAAATAACGAACGTTTTTATCAATGTCTCTCGACAGTGGAACAACGCTGCCAGTGAAAATGGTCCACCATCCTGATGGCCGACTTCTCTTGGACAGTCGCCAGAGATGCTTCCGAACGACTGTACAAGAGACTCAAAGAAATCTAAGATCAGAATCACTAATGAATAAGCTGATTTAGTTATGATTCTATTTGTTCATCACAATCAACTTGCACGCTGTAAAGGTAAGCTACCAATTCAGAAAAGCACCAGACGATCGTTTCGCCCTATTGGGGCGGCCCCATGCTGGGGATCGAACCCATGACCGCTATTGGCTTGCCCCACTAGCCAGCAGCTTACGCCGCTGATCCATGCGTCGCGTAAACCGATCATCACGGATTGAAATCTAACTGCGATCCAGCCCGACCCACTTTCAACTGCTATACAGGTTACTTCCAGTGCAGATTACGGTAGTTGTCCTTCAAGACTTCCGTAAAATGTATGTGCAGTGTTATTTACCGGTCTACCTAGCTCCCATATTTTATCGATGAATCTCACACTGTCCGTCCACACAAGTCTTAAGATTGTGGTTCGACTCTAGTCAACTGCCTCCCCTGACTCCGCCTTACTCTGTTAACCATTTTCTTTACAGATAGTACCGATAATGAAGCCGGCCAGCTTATTCAGCAACTGGTTGACTTATTTTGGTTGGGCACACCGGAAGACGATACTCCTGATGCGTCTCCTGAGTACGGACGGTTATGGCACAAGCTCATGCACAACGGGACTGTCCCCTTACCGTACGGGTTGGTCGCCCAAGGTAGACTTCAGCCTCTATCAAATCACCTGATTCGCACCATGTCGGTTCATTTGCGCATGCTGTAAGTTCTTTCCGCGCTCTCTTTGTCTCTTTCTCTCTCTCTCTCTCTCTTTTGTGTGTGTGTGTGTGTCTGTGCATCTCTATACCCTCTTGCTGAGTCGACTCGTTTTCCATTCTGAACAGTTCAGTGCAGCAAACACACACACACACACACTGGGTAACAGGTTCCCCACACTTTTGAGTGAAACTTATCTAGGCAGTACAGCGTTTGCCTCTACCCTCTTTCCTACATCAGTATGAAAGGACTCACCCATGTCATCCTTCATTCTTCACATGCAGGGTGCTGCACCTATTTTTACAGAAGATCAGTTCACTACCATTCTCTGAGCAACTTACCACTCCTGGCGTGATGGAGACGCTTTGCCGCCTATTGGCCTGTCGTGAGGTGGAACCTAGCAACGTCAGTCGGATTCTGAGTACGTTGCGTGTGTATTTCTGTGTCGCCAGTGCATCACCATCTGTGTACTCACTAATGAATGTAGGGCTACTGATTTGTCGATATTTCAAGGGCGAGGAGTTGTAATGACTTCTCACAAAGGACACACTCTTGGTTCATGGGTCATCATAATGATCTCAGTTGTATCGCTTTACGCACAGTTGTCTGCCTTAATGTGAGCGACAAAAGCTGGCTAATCCAGGAACTGTGCCTTGAGTTTGCATTTCCCTGAAATCAGCAGTGCAATGACTGCTTAGGACAATATGATGCGTTTATTGTGCGATCCGTCCCATCTACGAGCATTGCCGGATAGGGCACTACGTGCTTGGTATGAGCTTCGCATCTCCAGAGTGAAGTGTTGAACTAACATGTCACATCCCATGGTTGAATTCTCAGAATGTGAATGGTCTGCCGTATCCGTGATTCCCCGCGTAGCTTATTGCTTGTGCCGACGACGGGACCTCAGCCTATCAACCGAGTGCAATGTTTGGTCGTGTTGCGTATCAGAGATATGACCACTGCATTGAGAATGTCAACCTCAAGTACTGATGCCTTCGAAGCATTGATTGTCGAGTTTTGGAGCACCCACCTTATTTCGGATTGCGACGCGCGGTCTCAATTGTGGCTTCGGGTGACTTTAAAATCAGCCTCTGCCAATACGGTCACTGGGACCGTCACCGAATTGGAGGGTTTCGGTGTGCCTCTCCCATCCCGACGGTTTCCTGTTTGTTTAGACTCATCAGGTAGAGATAGCCGAACTGGGAGTGGAACTCGGCGCTTAGTGCTTTGTAGCTATCGCCATGATCACTAGGCCATTGAGCTCTGCGATCAGCGGTGACACAAAGATTAGAAGTAAAATTTTGGGTTTTAGAGTACCTGCCGTGGGTCTTGTATTGCGACACGCAATCTCAATTGTGATGTCGGTTTACTTTGAAATCAACCTCTGCCTCTCACTGGAACTGTCACGGAAGTGGAGGATCTCGATGTTGTTCTCTCCTGTTAGTGCACTTGGTGTAGGGTAGTGATAGGCGAGAGAGCAACACCGAAACTGTCCCCTCGAAGCAATGTTCTTATCCGGTGGCAGCACTAAGTTTGTATTACTGCGATTCTCCAGTAGCTGTTTAGCAAAATCACATCTTCTGCTTCAGTGATATGCTTTTTGTGATTGCGTTGATGAGATAGTCCTCTTCGATTGCCTGTTAGCCTCTGACTCATTTGGGTGGATTCTCAGGGGACACGATAAAAAAGTGTATAGAAACCAGCTGAGCAGCTCAGTCATGTCGTTGTATTGCCTCTATGGATAAAGATCACGCAGTGGGATACTACAAAATTATGTGTTTTTGTGCGTTGCACTGAAAAATTCAATGACTCGTTCATAATCCCTTGCCTCCGACTGTTCTCTGGATGAAACAACTCTAGTCTTTTTGTTTCATCTCCTGTTTTCAGTTTTGTTTGCTTCTTCCTTTATCTTATCTTCCCGCTCCATTCATTGTTGGAAAGTAGTAGCTCTGGGGTGATCAACATTGTCCTCTACCCATTAGCCATACTCATGACGATGGAGGATGGATCGCACTTTATAGCAGGCATCAATCAATTCACGATGCCCCGCAGTCATCAGCTACAACTCAGTGTCTTAGGTCACGAGATCGTAGGAGTACATTCACGAGTTCGAGCCCAGCAGGGTTCCAATGGATACGCGTTACTGATGAGTTCCAATAAGTCGAAACGGTTGTCTTGTGCTTCTCTGGATTTGTGATATTTGTTGAGCTGAATCTCGAGATTTCATTCCTTTTATCACAGTAACTTACAAGCCAGATAGCTCTGTCACCGATCCGGAAAAGCACCAGACTGTCAATTCGTCCTATTCGGACTCAACTAGTCAGCAGCTTACGCTACTAAGCCGTCATGATTTGCAAGGCAACTGCGGTATATCGCGACCCATCCTCCTCTGCCATTCAAGCTATTACCATTGCAGCGGCCTACTCCCATGAAGTCATGACCTCCTACGACCATAGCTATGTAGAGGTTAGAAGAAGGCTCTTAGAACAGGTTTCCTATCACTACTGTGTCGGGGGTTTTCGAGGAAATTTTACTTATCAAAATTGTCTTTTTCTATCGTTATGGTCACTCAGCTCAGAACAACACGCTTCGTCCCAGTCCACCACTTCGTTCCTCGTTATTAAACAACTGAATGAGGAAAATCCCGGTGGTCTTAAAAGTCTTTAAAATCATGTCTCAAGACCTTCCGACTTAACCCAGCGAGCCACTGTCCCTCTGATGTCGGCTTCCGATGCGTTTGATCCCCTTCGACTTTATGTACGAAGATTACGCTGTCGGTCGCAGTCTCGATCAAGACTATCGAAGTGAAAATATTTGTGTGTTGCTCCTCCCAACACTGGCACTGTTTGTAACCTGTTGAAGTTTCACCCACATGCAGCTAATCTGGATGAAAAACTACGGTTTAAGGCAAGCAGGGATGTGCCTTCAAGCGTATTAACTGTCATTTACTATTGACTGGTCTGCGCAGAGCAGTCACGATCTGCGGACTGACATGTCCAAGTAGGCGATAGCTTGGGGCCATCGTTATTACTAAATTACTAACAACACTTCACAAATCGGTCTTTTCCATTAACTTACGCAGTCAGCACGTTTCGTTTTAGCTATCAGCTCTTCGGCCATTCTACCGATAGGACTATTGTTGACGACAGTGTGCTTATACTCATTTGATTAGTGGACCTCCACGTCTGGGTATGAAGAATGCCCAACTTCTAGATAGTTACACGGTTTGTTCCCGTGCGCCTCTGGATCCTCCTGTTTGATAAGTTCACACGGAACGTCTGTACATGCGATAATTGTCATTTTCCAACGTGTTCTTCTAGTTCTTTTTGGTAAAACTAACCTCAATTATTTATGGCGTTGCGAGTTCTACGAACCGTTTTTTTTGCTCTGGACATGACACACTTCATGAATAAAAATCGTTTTTAAATGAGACAACCCTTCTTATCTGATCTCTCTCAGGTTGTTTTGTTCGATGCAAGTGTCGTTGCTTTTTCACTATTTATCTTTCCAACTTCTCATCGACATCTCTCTCGTCTTGTAAATTATGCTAACCACGGTAGCTTTATAACATCTTGACCGAATACTATCGGCTGCTAGCTGTGCGCCGTAACGGCGCTTTGCTGCCACGCGGTCACCACTAGTCGTGCGTGGGCTGAGTATACCTCGAAGACACCCACCCCTACACGGATTCGAACCGGTGACCTTATGGTTACAAACCAGGCGCGCAGACCACTCGGCCCCCTGCCGACACTATTAGCTGCATACGGCCTGCTATCCTTAGGTTACATACAACCATGCGCCTCACCTTTTCTGATACTCAGGGGTCATCCTCACTCTTTCAGATCAGCGGGACACCTACTGGCCGGCCCGTAGCCTAAACTTAACAAGCTTGTCTGACGGCGTGCGTTCGAGTCTGCATAGGGGACGGGGCGACGCTCGCAGTGTCCTTGGCCCACGTTCGACCGGTGATGGTTGCGGGGCAGCGAAGCGTCGGTACTGCGTACCGGCGTACTGCTGATGCATTTCATTTTTTTCTTTCTGCTGGGGCTTCGCTGCCATCGCACCGCCGGTTGTTACACGGGAACTGCTGCGAAGTCACATCCACTTGCGCAGCGCCAAACTAAGCAGCTGAACTAACCCACCATCTGATGGCCTCACACTCCCTCCACTTGATTAACTTATAAACAAGACCTTTACATTTTTCGAAAATACTCTTCGCATACTGACATTTTGTGAATCCATTTTCTAATTCTCTGTCGCACTTATTTTTGCACCCAATGCTCAGATCTTTTACCTAAGCTTCAGCCCATGCACCCCCCGAATGGTTGGGATGTGCCTGAACATTCTCCTAGCGCCACTCTGGAGCAGTGTTCCCCACCTGCGAGTTATTTACTCAGCACGCTTTTGGATACGCTTGGGCACCGGCTGGCTGACACTTTGCTACCAGAGTTGCAAGTGCAAACCTTGGTGGCGATGGTGAATTTGCTTCGTCTCTGGACAGCTTGGTCCACTTTGCATCCACCGTCCGATTCCGACGAGACCCGAACTGGAAGCGATGGCCGGACTTGTAGTACCGACATCCCATTAGATCTGATGCATACGTGAGTCTTCTTTCCCATGCAAAACTGAGCGATCGGATTTTTGGGATGGTTATGCTGCACCATCAGACTATTCAAGTTTCTCCATAGCATCGATCTGTGTACACTGTTCTCAAAACACTGACGTGTAACTCGCACACGTCTGTACTGCGAATCCTAAATTTTGTTTCCATTTCTAGACGGAATTTTTAGCTACCGAAAAAGCTTTGGCCTTATTTGTACTGTTTATAAGGTATACTCCAGGGTGCTGCCGTGCCATTGTGAGCTACTCGGACTGGTTGAATACAAAATTAGTGAATGTCCGTTCGGATTACTCGCACTCATCCAATGAACACAGCTATGTGGAAAGTGGAATTTCCCCTGCTGCGAATCACTGCGCCGTTTTCTTCGATTTGTTTTCATGGCAGCACTTTAGCTCACAATCAGAATTCGTAATATCAAGTGTATTCCCATGAATAATAACAATAATATTGCATTACTTGCTTTATGACTTTTTGTGGTATAATTTCTAGTATATTCTCTTTTTTGTCTTGTAGCTAACGTGTATTGAAGATGCTGAAGTCTACTCTCACTGTAGAAGTGTTATGTTTTCTTCTCTTTACTTCCATACGAATAATCTTTTTCTCTTGCTTCTAAGGTCAGTTTGCGGTGGTTACAAGTCTAGCGGTTTTACGCCATTCATTTATTGCGCCATATCGGAATATCATAGCTAAAGTGTGTTTTGCTTGTTTAAATCAGATGAGCAAAACGGATGGGAAGCAGCTATTCCCATCCATGCACAAGATTCACTAACGCACCCGTTTGCAAGCCAAAGAGTTGACCACGAGTTCGGTGTGGTCTGGACTTGGTATAGTCACAGCACATAGAAGTATAGTAACTAATCCGACCACCTGCAATCAACGATTGTGCTTGGTTCAGCTAAAACGAGTCGATGTTCCAGAGCCGAAGACAAAAATAATCCATTGGAACTAAGCGGAAGTCGGAATTTCTCATCAAATTCCGTAGATCATAGAAAGCAGTTCACTTCATGAAATGCAAGTTTTCTTGTTTCTCATTCCCAGAGAGCTACTCTGCATATTTGACGCGTACTATTTCCGTATCCTACACTAATCACAGCAATTACCGTTCCGTAATAGTCGTGCTCACTGAAGCATTCGAGTGCCGTCTCTCTTTACTCACACCTTATATTACGCCTGAAGCGGAATGGTGACACACGGATAAGCCGCAAGACCTATTTTTTATATTTCGTGAAATGTCTACTTACTTTACAGTTAGTCGGTTTCGCCAGCGCTTTCTGGGTACTCTTTCGATCTTCAATCACAGATTCTTTTACACCCTTTTCACCACTACCTATAAGCAGTAATTCATCAGTTGACTGCCTCATTCACATTTTTGACCTCCACTAACTTCTGCTTGAACCCACTTTAGTGGACAATCACATCTAGCTTCTTATTCTCACGCTTATCTTCGCGTCCGATGACGTACTTTGGACATGTTTGTTCCGCTTGGAACTCACCACTCAGTTATCCTTGCGTTGATGCGTACTCGGAGTTTATGGATCATGTCGTTACGCTATTAAAAATCGTGATAGTGGAAACAAAAATGACGCAAAATAACTGAGCACGTAAACGTTAAATGTGTGGAGCATTGAAATTAGTCGGGTTAAAAGATTACTTTAATGGTAAGACACTCGTTGTGTTTGTTTCGCTGAGTTATGAACAACGTTGTTAGCCGACGTTCTGACCATACTTCTGGGTATGGCGTTCTCTGCTGATGACTTCTTTTTAGGTTGGTTTCTCCGGTTCTCATCTAACTCTCCGAGAAAGTAATTAGACGTATGAGGGTAATGGAAAGCGGCAGGATTCTAGCTTGTCATTGAAAGGTAGGGTGTATAAAACTGCACTGAGGTCATTCTTACTATCTGGAGCAGGGACCTACCCGTGTTTGATCGCCGATGCTTACGGAGTATGGCTCACATCTGGTGGGGACACCAGATGAGCAATGCTGCACTCCAGCAGTTGATTTTTGGCAAGAAACCGTCTGTCGCTTCACTCGAGTGTCTGTTGCAATTAATACGTTTAGCTTGGCTAAACTATGTCCCCGCTTTTGTCCGTTGCTCGTCTTCCTCAGCACCAAATTGGGCGAACCCGCGAGATGACCAATAGATGATCTAGCTTAAGGACATGGAATTGACTGAGAGACCTGGTCAGTATGGTGCGTGCCGTCTTTCTTGATGGGGCCCTGCGATTGTCAAATATAACGCAGTCGTGACATTCCCATATTCGGCTCCCTGCATCTGAATGTCGATTCTCTCTTAATTCATTTTACTGCGGCACAGTAGCTGAGGTGTTTCCCACCTCTAGCTGACGTGTATAATGATGATGATGAATTTATTTTACTCACTTCTTTCTTAGCCCATTTTCTCTGTATTCTGTTTGCGTCTTACATCATTTTCTTCATCGGTGTTATTTACTCTGATCATGGTGACGCGATTTTCGGCAATTGGATCCACCGTAATTTAGTTGCTTAGCCTAACTGAACTGAACTAACTGAACTGAACTCATGGTCGTTCAACTGCGACCCTTCTCAGTCTTGGGTTTTGTCTTGAGCGGAAAGACAATCGGTTGTTCGTAGTGACTCCACCATCCGTCTCACATACTTTCCCCGACGTTCGTTGTTATTTCAATGGTCATGGGCCGACCACAGTTCCATGTATTGCGGCACGATAGCTGATGTGTGTGTTTCTTTGGATATCGTGTAGTGATGATGATGAGTTTCGGGTTTTTCCATCTTCCCAAGCCTGCTTATCGAATGAATCTGACTACTTTGCCTTGATGAAGCCGATCGATGCAACTGCATCCAGTCTTCACAGTGTAAAGTGAGTGTGGTTTCAAATGTGACGGGTAATGGGTGTTTCCCCTTCATAAAACACTGCACTCCACGACTGGTTTCAAACTACTTCGGTCTCATGAGGTAGCAGGTTTCTGAACCCGGGGCCATTTGGGATTTCACCCGGAGCGTATACTCCTAAGCCACCGAGTCACTTCGGGTAACGCTCATCATTACGGTTACTGACCATTTGGAGAGGAATGAAGCCCTCACTTCTGAGCTGGCCTCGGTTGGAGCGTCTCGGCTCCCTGGTTGGGGTCCGAAAGACGATGAACACGTTTGGTTGCACACACTTGCTGACATGGCAAGGAGCCGACCTCATTGGCGTTCCTGCTGTGAGTTTCTTTGTCCCACCCCATCCCTCTTTGCCTACCCCTCCAACCACGATCTCATTATTTAGCCTTATATAATCTTGCATAGCAATTTTTTTGATGCACAATAGCCGTCTGGTAGCTTACCAGAACGATACCCATCCGTTACCGGTAGCTCAGCCGGCTTGCACCAGTTGCTTTTTTCTCTTCTTTTTCTGTGCATTGCGGCACAGTAGCTGAGGTGTTCCCCACCTCTGGCTAACGTGTATGATGATGATGATGATGACCATTTGGAGAGGTCATTTTGAATCATTCGTTTTGGGTATGTGTTCTGAGGGCCATTCACGGGCCATATATTTGGTGTACTTTTTGCGGAAAAGATTCGTTACACCCACACTGAATCAAACAACCACTACTCGTCCGGAAAGGCACTAAACGACTGTTTTGGGAATTATCCGCGGTGCGCATCTCATCTGTCGTCTATGATGCTTGAATTCGCAGTTATACTCATACGAACCCGTGATTACCGCCACCGAGCAACGGAGGAGAAGCCGATCCGCCGTGACCAGGTAACCAGCTGTGCTATTGCGCGACACTTATCCTGTATTGCCCTGCGTGTTTGACTTTTGGGACCCCACTTTCGATGGTGCTGTATACTTAGACAACTGTTACTGTGCAATGGCTGTGACGAACCCCCTTCAAGACTTAATCGGAATGCCCTCTTTCACTTTTTCGTTGCTGGTTGTGAGTCCAGTTGATTAGCCTGGGATTCGACTGGGAAGGCTTGGATGCTATCGGGTAAACAAACATCGTAATAGCGACCTTTTACTTACACCCCGATTCTGTATGTATGTTCCGGATGAACCGACGTCCCTGATCTCTGTCCACTGGCTGCTGATGGCCTTCTGTCGCTGAGAGTTGACTATCTCGTGGTTACTATGTATTTTGGAACTTTTTGCCCCTGCTGTTGACCTTGCAGTTTGTGCAAGCTTTCTAATCAACCACTCTCTGTTACCATCTTAGTCTCGAACCATCCACTTAACAACACCGGATAACTGGTCACTGGAATGTGATTCGAACATTTCAGTTTATGGCTCAACTGCGATTCCCGTACCGAGGTGCAGTTACCTTATCTCAGTTTACTATGGCACCTTAATTGCAGTATTGTCTGATGTTAGTACAAGAGGTAAAAACAAGACGCGCTAGATCGCATTTGGCTTGTTAATCACGACGGTCTGCCTCTATCTATCATGGCTCAATGGCCTATGCTGCGGGTTTGAGCATGGATTTGAATACTGAAGGAATCCATAGATGCGCATTGTTGACGACACCCAACAGGTCGAAACGGTTGTCCGGTGCTTTTCTGGACATACGGAGAAGTATCTGATTTGGAAGCTGCTGCTATTAACTCTCAATCAAAATGCTCTGAATACTATGTCGTACATGGCTATTGTCAGTGGAAATCTTGTCTTTCGGGGCCAACCCTGTCGTAATTTTCATTCACTGGAAGGTAAGACGCGTTTTCTCACAGTCTGTACTGTACATCATGATGGTCCACTGCTGTCCCGCATGACTCAGTGGCGTACACTACTGACTGGCGGTTCAGAACGCTAATGGTCATGAATTTCGATCCTGATGGAGCCGATGGATGTGCTATACTGACTGGAACTAACAGGTCGAAACGGCCGTGTGAAGTTCTTCCGGCTATTTGGGAGACTACCTGACTTTGGAGCTATTGCGATGAACTCTCAATCGAAAATGGCAAGCTCATCTGACACACTTGTTACAGGTGAGAGATCCTGGAACGGATGCTCGAAAATCGCTTACTTTGTAACTGCGTCATTCCTGATTGCTGGTGTAGCCCATCTCTAGGCGCCTTACTCCATAAGAACCACAGGCACTAGCCCTGCTCAACCGTTCGGCAAGTTTATTTACGTTATCATGCAACACAATCAAACCTTCAACTCGGAATTTCACCCAATAAGCGTCATACTATTAGCACGCAATACACGCCTAGACAACCAGCCTTTAGAAACGGTACGAACCTAATCTAGTCGGCGTACGTGGTCCGATTTCAATTGAAATTCCTGTGCGACATCAAACGGTCTGTTGCCAAATACCGAGTGACCAACTTCAGTATCACTCGTTAGTTTCCGTCATGAGAGGGGAACATATGTGATTTGAACAGCTTAGACGCGTTACCATGGCATTATTTTGTACTGTTTCGAAGACACTCCTATCCTCCACTACAAGCCGATTCTGAGTGTGGGAGTGGGCCTCATCGTTTGGTTGAATTAATCTGGCTTACACTTGTTGCTGAGTCCGTTGTAAACTTGGCTCATTTGGCTTGGAAGACCATTCGCATTAGCCACTAATTCAATTAATGAACGCATACTAAATCTTGTCTGCTTTGAGAATATCACAGAATTAGTGGCAACTCCTTGCGGTTAACTTTGTATGCGAACGACCTTCCTTAGTTGCTCATCCTGAGCGCGAGTAAGTAAGTAAGTAAGTAATCTCAACAGTCTAGTAACTAGACATAGAGCCAACAAAGCCATGGAAATCAGTGGATAGGAGAGTCATTGCGTCATATTCATCGTGGCATGATAGTTGAAGGTGGGCAACACACTTCAACTAATATGCCGCAAGAAGAATGGAACATTTTGACAAAAAATAGAACAAAACATTTTTAGTTTGTTTTTCACACGCCCATTTTACTCCTTTTTGTCATTTTCAATTTTGGTAGTATTAAACATTTGAATCAATACAACACTGTACACAATTCTACCACTGATTCCGGTTGCGGGCCATGTCTTCAAGAGTCCTAAGCCATTGGCACTCCTATCTCTGGTCTTTGACACATTGGTGTACCTAACTGGACCTCGATTTACCTGCGTTTTTGATTGTGCACACAACCCCCCACGGCTGGGGTGAGGTTTATCTTGTCCATCCAACTGCAGGATTCCATGGAATCCGCTTGAGACTGCTCAGATGTAGTATTTGCTGGCTGTTCGCTGAGCTATCCAATGTGTTCCCTGCATTTTCCACCGTGAGCCTCTCGTTTTTCTTGTTTCTAGGCTAGAGTGGACTGTCATTAAGCTTATTCGGAACCTTCAATCGCCTGACTGCGTTCTTTACGGTTTATGCTCATCAATCTCTCCAGCCTGCTTGGCCCAAGCTCAAGCTCAGGCGTCTTCTGCTAGCAGCTCCTCAAATTCGGCCGCTTATGTACCACCAAATTCTGCGCCTTCTTCTGGCGCATCATCAAATCCACCAAGAGCACGGCCTTCTCAGCCAAGTGCACCCGATGGCTCGGCGTCCACGTCAACATCCTGTGACGCTCCGTCCACTAATGCTGTGGTGTTACCCGCGCCTTTTCCCGCGTATCCGTTCCTGATGACCGAGTGTTTGGAATTGAATCGCTTCATACTGTTTAGTTTATTACAGATCTATTACGCCTACGGTAAGTCAAAATCAAACCTGTCTTGTGCACGAGTCTTTTCGTGTTTGTTGGTTTTAACTGTTACATAGCATCCGAACAATGTTGCTTAGATCAGTGTAGGCTACCCGATTCTTGAGAGCATTTCAAGGTCATCACTGTGATAAACTCTCTCTGCCCTTTTTTTCTGCAGATTTGGACGAAATCAGTGCAATGAAGGCGTTCCTGGTTGAGCAGATCCGCACCATGTGTGAGCGTTGTGGCCCACATAGTCTGACAGAGTTGCCCCGTTTCATCTTGAATCGCTTACCCGAGTTCCTCATGCATATTATGCGCCAGCGTTCCAGTCCCTGCTTCACTGGATCCAGCATTTCTATCTCGGCGGAGACATCGGAGAGGCGGCAAAGCTTGGTAACTTTACCTCTTATGGTTTTGGATGAATTCAATCGTTTGACTGGTAAGTGTAGCTTTCTCCCATCTTCGCCTATTCTCGCACTCACAACTCGTCTCACAATTCACATGGTTATACCCTATGCTCATTAATCGCCTGAATAGCCAACATGCCACTTTGATTGGTGGCAGCTTACGACGGGTCATAGCTGAGGGGCCAGACCATGAATTCCATACGTTCCTAAAATGCAAGACACGTTATATCGCAATTAGTCGCTGCGGTTCACCTCTATTCTAAGTCGAAGACTCGTAAAAATAAGTCATTGCTCCCGAGCCAACAGGGCCTGATGGATGCGCGCTACTGACAATTCCCAATAGGACGAAACGGCTATCAGATGCATTTCCGGATTCGTGCCAGACTATCTGACTGAATCTAATTTCTAGTCTCTAATTTTGTTTTGACTGTTCATTTCACTTCAATTCGACTGCTCAGCTATGGTCCAAGTGCGACAGATCTAGCTGTCGTAACTCGTTTCCTCGTCGCATGATGGAACATAGATCAAGGTAGGAACCATCACTTAAAGCATAACCTCATCAATCTAGCAATTGAGACATATCTGGTTGAGTTTCCGGTCATTGATGTGATTGATCCCTAGGCGCGATCCTATAGGGCCACATGCATCGATCGTGCTGTTTACTCATTTCAGCTATGCACTTCTATCTGTCACTTTCGCTGTACTCTAAAACAGCGCACGTAGGGATGGTATATCGAAGAACATAAACCGAGGAATATGACAATATCAACGCGAAGGATGCAAGTTCAGCAAACAGTTCACTGGAGGCTAAATCGGTCTGTTGCCAAACGTCAACTAGTGAACTTCGACATCACTCACACAGTGTTCTCATCTGATACGAACGATAAGGCGCACGCGCTGGTAGTCGAAGACAATCGACCTGTTAACATTCGCAGCATATCTGGACTATGCATCTGACTCCCATAAGAAGAAAGTCAGTAGTAGCACGTCTGTACGTCATATCAAAACTTCGTTGTCACAAGACTACCATCAACCGCAACCTCCTCAGTGACTTAGTCACTAGGGAGTGGATTTGTTCACCGTATACCGAATCGCACAACGTTTTTGTATCAGACCAACCAGATGCGTTTGCTTCACAAAGACAGAACTAAACCCTGAGGGATCTCTGTTGTCTGCATGCTCACTGTTTATTACTCTGCTGTTAGCTGAGAATTAGCTAATGTAGAAAAATTGATCATTATTCCGATCACGAAATTGAAGAGACGCTGATAGAAAGATTTATATGGAATCTTTCAATGTCTTAGTGTAGACAAGAGCGTATCTGATGAATTCTACATAGCTTGACCGTACCACAGATAGACTATCGACTGAATCTTATGTAGCGTACCAGTCAAATATGACGACCACGCGTGGTCTGGGTGTGTTACGCTATTATTACTGTTGATGACATTTAAACACCGAATCACTAAGTTCTCTACCGTACTGAAAAGCAGGCTGGCTTTCGCTGCTTCTGCTTTATCAGGACCGATAAGCCACCCATAATCATGCTTGTGTGCTTTCGGATGTATTGTTTCGATGATTTTCGCAAGGCGTCTCTTTCTTTTCTTGACGATATATGCGGCAATTAACGTGCCTGTCTATGTTTAACCTATACGGTCGAATAGAGCGTCTAAACAATACTCTCCCCCATGAGACGCCGTGGTCTCTCAGTAACGATGGAATATGTTGTTTCTGCGCCTACTTTTGTTGAAGTACTGCGATAGTGGTTTAGTGCCTGATGTGCAAATCTGTAGGTTGCCGTTTAATGAAAATATTGCAACGGTTTCCGCAATACACTGACCTTTCCGAATGCAGAAGGAACTATTTTATCGAATCCGTGTCACGATTCCCCGAATCGAGCTGTCAAGCTGATTTGACTGTCTACAGATGGGGACATGTTCAATTCAGTTCGGCAATTCAAGAGAGTTTTGTGCACCCAAAAGACTGCATATTCAGCTGTAAAGTATATATTTGCCGGGAAAATCGATTGGTAGCCTCTCGGTCAACATTTTAGAAATACGCATTTAATATGTGACAAAGAAAATCTAAACATACACTCTGTTGACTTGCACCATGAGGGATTGATACACATGATGACACCTCCACCCCACTGTTCCGGTTTGTATATGGCCGGTGGTCGACATGTTGGCAATTCAATCCTTCAATCGCTGCAAGTGTGTCATCCACGTCCTCATAGAGCCACATCTCGAAGCATAATTGCGCCTGGCTTTGAGTATTCTTGACAGCAACTCAGGCTCTTGCTCTCCTCTCCATTTTGCCAAGAATTAATCGGATACTTGAGCTGAGTGTAATGGGTATACTTAAGCTCCATGACGTTTTTTCCTTAGGACAACCCTCCTTCCGGCATGATGCTTTTCAATAGAATCGTTGTGCTACTTGTAGATTCCGCCGTAGATTCCACTTATGCCTTGAATGTGAGAAAAATGGAGCGTTCAGTGGAGTTGAAACACACTGGGATTTTAATATATCACGTGTGCAAACGTGTTATGATGATTGCATATGGTTTGTGATTCTGCTATCTTAAGCCACCCCCAGCCCGTCACCAATTTCACCTCAGGCATCTGTTCACACACACCTCGGCTACCAGCTTTTTCTACTTTCACCGTTTACACCGTACGCAGTGAATTAATCTCACTGGAGTTCGCTTTTGTAATTTATGTGTTTTCCTCACACGACTAATGTATTTCCCCTTCCTTGTATGCTGCCATAATGCCTGGTAGCTTACTATCACAAGTGCCAGAATTTTCCTCCGTTTTGCTTCTCAGCATACGCGCCATTTCTGTGCCTTTAACCTTAACGGAAGCCGACCATTATGCACTTCACTGTCCACGTCACTGCTGTGCAGATGACAGCGTATCCTCCAGCAACGACTTCCAGTTAACTTGGGCTGTTATAGGCGGTCTAGATTGTGTACTGATGACAAGAGAGTGTTGGAAGCATTTCGATCAAATGATCTATAGTCATCAAGACAAGCCTCAGCTGGACGGCCATCGAACATCCGGTAAAGCACTGTGCGGTCGTTTTATTCTTTCGAAAATCGTCAACAATGGCGTCCGATTCGCTCGGGAGCTGGCTACAACCCAGTATACCCTGTATACGAGTGGAGTTCCAGTCAATCAGGGACATTTTGAAAAAAATGGAATGGCAAGTGCATTCATTGTGCAACAAATTCCCCTGGACTTTACCGTAGTGCGATGGTTTGCGTTCCTCAGTAATCTTTGAGCTATGCTGGATGGCGCCTTTTTGCACCTCCAGAGCCACTCATACCAGATCGGTCAATGGTTAGACGCCAGACAAACTCAGCTTCCTGGTCCTCCAGGTTGGGTGTTGGAATGAGGGTAGCACCTTATTCCTTAAAACGGACTCTTTGTTGCCCAAAGCCAAACCCGCTGCCTTACGGTAAGGTTTTTGAACCAAAGGCCTTGGTTGAAAACCCTAATCGTTTTCCTGAATATGCCTGGGCAACCTGACAGTATCCTGACCAAGCAATACTGTGAATTTATTCCCATATATTTTCTTGATGCTCTGGCTACCGCAGAGGATAGTCAATTGTGCCCTATCTGCTACATCGAGCAGGGTGGATATGGGTAGGTATACTACTGCCGAAGCCTTCCCGTCTCTTTATTCCTTCTCTTACGTTCTTTCACTTATCATCCCGTTCCAACTTCACTTTTCTCCCCTCCGTTTTCAACCCCTTAATTCTTGGCCCTCCTCCACCCTGCTTTGATAGGCGTTTAGCTTCTAATTTCAACTCACATGGAAACGCGAAGCGTCACTCTTGCTTTATCGACAAGCTTATGTCTAATCAAGCAGTCAATCCCAGTTCATCGGCTTATATTTGGGGCCCTCCATCCTCCTTCAGATTTGCATGCCTCAACTTACGCACATTAATGCACATCGGTCAACAGGAAGCACTTGCCCGAACGCTAGAGATCCTCTTGATTGATATCTGCTGCTTGTCGGCAACTCGCCTACAAAACTCGAGCTCTGTGCTCACTCTACGATCCCTTTGGCGAAGCCAGCTGTTCGGAATGCCTATCAAAGTACGCTGTCATGCGAGTTGGATAAACGCTCACTGGATGCGATTGAAGGTCACTGGTCTCATATTCACCAGACCTTACTTGCAGCAGGAAAATCCTCATGTGGTATGTCTAATCGCCAACCTGGACATTGGGTCTCTTCACAGTCTTTGGAACTTATCGATGCTCGCCGGCATATTCCGCCTGGCAGGGAACACAATGAAACTCGCAAAGAGCTCCGGTTAAAACTTTGTGCTAGCCTGAAGAGAGACCGCGAATCCTGGTGGTCTCATCGTGCAACAGATCGAAATGGCCGCTGCACTTGGTAACCATCGTATGTTATTGCGGCTCATACGGGAAACGGGCAGCAGGAGACCTGGTGTTAGTGAAACAATTTGTGACGAGAGTGGACAACCTATACATAACTTGTCAAAACGCTTGGAGCGTTGGGCTGAGCACTTTAAGGGGCACTTTAATCGACCGGAATTAAATTTCTCGCCGGCCACTGATCGCCTCGCTCCGTGGGCTGTCCCTTTCTATCCACTCTCTCGCTCAGAAGTCAAACGTGAGATCGGACTGTTGAAGTTAAATAAAGCCACGGGACCAGATGACCTTCCTCCAGCCCTCTTCAAATTCGGGGGGCCTGCTCTTGTGGATGATTTACACGAGTTACTAGTCAAAATGTGGGAGCAGGATACTGTCCCAACCGATTGGAGCCGTTCCGTCATAGTCCCAATTTTCAAAGGCGGCTCACGATCGGTATGCGGCAGCCATAGAGGAATCAGTGTGATCTCTATCGCCTCCAAATCGCTTGCTTTTGTCATCCATCACAGACTGGCCTTCACTCGTGAAAGCCAGATTGGTGAAGAGCAAGCTGGATTTCGTCGGGGTCATGGCTGCATTGACCACATCTTCACCTTGCGTGTTGTTGGAGCACCGTCACATATATTGGC